TAATAATTATAATTATAATTTATCAAAATGTTATGTGGGCGTAGAAGACAGTTAGTATTGTTTAGTGGCCTATAGGTCAGACGAGAGCGGAATTGACTGTAGGATGCGGCGTTCAAGATCAAGGAAATCGAGATTGCACGTGATCGTTGTGATATATCCGCCACGCCATCATTGTTATAATATAGGTATACTAAACAAATTATAAAATGCTCTTAAAAAAAATGAAAAGAACTTTTTTATTTTTACTTTTTAATGCATCGCGTATGTGTGCACGTGTAAATTGTATTATATACTATAATATACATACATGCATACATACATATATATAATATATCGATATAATATACATCTACTGAGTTGAAGTGTACATGTAAGTATTACTTATATACATATATACATTATACTGTACAATACATATGTACACATTTATGTATAATTAAGCGAATCGCATGACGCCCATTGTTTCAATCCGAGGATCTCATGACTGTTATAATGTGCGCGCGGGCACGCGTTTAAAAAAGTGAAAATTTCTGTCCGAACTCTGAAGCGACCGTCCACGAGACTTTTCACTTCGATCCAACGTCTTCCCATGATGGGCCCGCAGCTACGATGACTGATGACGGTTCTATAATAATAATATAATAACAAACGCCAAGACGAACGTTTAGAACGAGAACATCTGTAAAGAACGCGTGTGAAGAACTTTCGAAACGGGCTCTACTTTATTCCCCGAATATTTATATACTCGGATAATATAATATATCATAACAAGAAACCGTACATAATCATATAGAGCCACTTATTATAGACACATGGGTATATTGTGGTGCCGATGAGATTGGTCGTCAGCAAAAACATACACAGACGATAAGACTGTAATCATATACTCATATATTATACATATACCAATAGTATTATGATAACATCATTTATGTGACCTTAAAAATTCGAAGAGTTTAAAAAACTATAATTTCGCAATTCATAATTGTAAGCACATATATATGTATATTAGAACAACACCTCGAAAATGGTGTACAAATTATATTTTGAAATCATATGATGCACGTAAAAGGAATGATATTTACGCGATATTTACTTTATATAATAGGTGTATATTATTAATTACTATTTAGTATTTAGTTATAGTAATTTACTAGATTTACCTAAGGCGTATTCTTTGGGTAAATACTCGTATGTGGCCATAAGAAGAAACCCGATAATGAAACGGGCCAAGGAGTTTTAATCATCAATGTTGGGTATCATCATGGTCGTCATCTTTGCAGCTTGTTTAGTAAAATTAATATTTGATAAGCTCAAAATCTGTAGTGCGAGTAAAAAATAATTATATTGTTTTTGGATATAAGCGCAATCGATCTCTGCGAGTGTTGTTCAGCTTTGCTGATTTCAGTAATCGTTGAACCAACGCGTATCGAACTAATCAAACTCGATTACTATACTTATGACCAAAATTATTGACTTTATTTCTAGATTTGGTAAAAACAGAAAACTCGTTTAAGAATGTCAACGAACCGCTGCGACCGTGACGAAATCCTAATAATAACATTTTTCCGAAGGGTAAGAATAATAAGATATAGCATGTTGACTATTAAGATGGATTTAAAAAGTAGTTTTCTAAAACATCGCAATTGCGCATGAACTTTAAACGTTGTCGTACACTGGAATTGAAGTTCTATACCTGCGGTTTTCTGCTGTATTGAATCATTCGAACATTTTGAACTCGTCAATTCGTTTATATATTGTACAAAAAAATGTTTTGATAACGTGATTTTAACTATTGCAACCGGATGCTGAAAAAAAATGTAAGCAATTAACCATTGTTTTATTTGTTTAACGTAGACCATGAAAAAAAAAAGTTCGATTATTACGTAGTTGTGTACAACTATCATATCTAAACCTACGCATATTTATTATCTATTATCTATAAACATAATATAAAATACGACCGTGGCTCTAAACTATCATTTTACGTCAATCTAACGGTTTAAATTTTAACGAATTATGTCCATAACGAAACGATAAAATAAACAAATAAACACACTTTAACACGTTTCACGAGTATACAGAATAAATGTATAGTTTAAATTATATTTATAATGAGCTACTTAGTATTTTCTTCGTTTTTTGTGTTTTTTTATTTATTTTTTTTATGCTCTTAAATTAGAATTATTACGACACAAAAAAAATGATTTTATAAACGATATCGTGGAATAGTGACGTGTCCTCGGTACTAATTTAATTTTAAGATTCGTTTAAATTCTGTGATTTTCACAATTTTCGTGACAATTATGAATTATAATATTTTTACCTGTTTCGATCCCTCTCGCTTGTGTCCGCTAAATGTAATAACAAGATAGGTAGGTCGTAGATAGTTAAATATAATATGCATAGTACAGATGAACTCCGTGCGTCAATTGCTCAATAGGTATACAAATTACGTCAGTGGCGTTATTACAATACACAACAAGGAACATTATTCGTCGGTTTTCCGTGTACCATACACGTACCGGAATCATATTACGCGAATTATCTCCAAGACGATCCGGCACAATCATTGCTCCTAATGAATTAATATAATAATAATATAACCGAAAATTATTTGGTAATAGCCCCGTGCGATGTATTTATAGATACGATACCGACAGTAATTAGTATGCTATTGGTGTACTCAAAATAGTTCATAAAAATAAAAAACGTCATTATTACAAATTACGAAAGTACCTACAGAGAGATCGTTCCAAGGTCTATTTCGTACGTTTGAAATATTTAGTGTTATTATAACTTTTTTTTTAATCATTTCTTTTTCCATGGCCTTCATCGAAACCGCTTCAAATCATAATGTTTTGGGGCTTATAATGCAAGTCTCTTATAAGTTTAACTAAAGTCTTTGCTATATATTTTATGTTTATGTAATGTAAATAACAGAAATTAGGTAATATAGGTACTATTAAGTGCATATAACCACTAACAAATGTATACATAAAATTGTTAAATCTAAATTAAATTTTTTTTTCTCATTAATATTTTTTAAGAATATCAAAAATTATTTAATGAAAAATGGGCATTAATAATCATATTCCTAGTATACGTGTATTTTATTTATGAAAGTATGTTCAAAAAAAAAAAAAAAATTAATAAATTAATTAAATTGCAAGTAAAATAAAAATATTTTTATTGTCCTGACAACCGTGGAAATGTTTATGGTATAGTAAAAGTTAACTAATTTGGTTTAAAAATACTCATAAAAACAATTAGTTTTATTAACGTATATTTCGACCTAGTCTCAAAGTGATTGTCCTTAAGGTACTTTGTTTGGTAAAGTTTCTCATTAGAAAAAATACTTTCTGATAAAAAAAAAAAAATAAAAAAATAAAAATACTTTCTGACAATATAATATATAAATCATTAATTTAACATTTTCTTCTTTTATGCAATACTATTTTTTCATTTATTTATTTTTTTTTTATCATTATTATAGTTATTTTTATTAACATTTTGTTATTTCTGGTTTTACTATTATTTGTAAACTATAGTGTAATTATTGTAATTAACAAGCCAAAAAAACATCGAGATATTTTGATCATATTGGGGGATAGATAAATGATAAAAAGATAAAGAAAGTTCGAAAAAATTGTTATCAATGTATTTTGATGTAGTTATCTAAATAAAAAGCACTACAAAATCAATTAATATTTTTTCACATTTATTTTAACTCAATAACTTACATTAGAAATTATTTGGGTATTTAGTATTATATAATTATATAATATATTAAGTATATATAAACAGACACGATGGTTCAATTCAATAGCATTTCAGTACTAGTTTTCACATTGATTTCTAAGGAATGTAAGTATGTATATAATCTGTAACTACGATGATTAATTTCAATTTTAATTCGGTTGATTAAATAATAATAACAGAAAACTAGTGCTGTGTACAAAATACAAATGGATACAACATATCATGAAAAAAATAAAATTGATTAAGTACTGATTATTATTATATCTTTGACGAACGATAGATTCGGTGTCTTTTACCTTCTATTTACAATAGATATATCTAGTAACTTATAAGCAACTTATTTACTCATGTCATCAAATGAATCTTAACTCATAATTTTCTCGAATAACAAATCGACACAAATATGTATATCTCCATCATTTTGATACACCTACTACCTATATAAATAGTTTGTAATTATTATTTTATAAACATTTTTTTAACCGAAGATATAGAAAATAATCGACAATTATCTTTTATTAATTTTAATTAGACTTTCTTACTTTAAACTACTAAATATTATAGAAATATATGATTTAACCATTACGAAAAATACATACATATAACCATTTAGATACCTACATATTTCATGGATATCGTGAATTTCCTAAACATACAATAATGAGTTTTTTTATACTCCAGCTATGAAATTTATTAAATTACACACGTAGATACTAAATAAGTTTAGTCTCTAAACCTATTAAACCGAATATTTTATACGATAGTGTATTTGTGTATTGATGTTTAAAGAGAAAAATATATTGAAATATATTTTGAAAACATAATTGAATACACTACCATTTATAGCTCTATACATGACATTCTAGGATTTGTTAGTAAACATCTACGCATATAAAAATTAAATGAGCAAAAAAAAAAATATATATATATATAACAAATAGTTAATATCAAATTGTCTACCTTTGCTGTTTAGCGATGATGTTATCATGTGTTATGTTCAATAGACAGTACAATTTATAATCCACGAATTATTGTATTTCATAAACATAGTGAAAAAAGTGGAAACATGAAGGTTCAGTGAAAATTAAACAGTGTCGAATGTTAAATACGAAGTTTTGATGTCAGGGCATATTATGTCAGTACATTATATTTTATAACAAAAGATATACAGAATGATTCATCAAGTATGTGCTTACATTAGTTTTAATTTTACCGTTTAAGAAGTGGGTGATACATACTTCTTTAACCCCTGAATCTCTTCAACCAACTTTTTGACTGCCTTTTACAAATATGATCTGTAAATGTATTTAAAAAAAATAAGAATTTGAATAAAAAGTTAAACCTCCTTAATTATTTTATATAGGAAATTACCAGGCACATATGTATGCACAGATTACATGATAGATAATCGAGAATTCTATATTTTTTACGATTAAATATGGTATCTAGTTAATATATTATTATGATTTTTTTAAGTGGTGCGAATAATGTAATCCTTGTATAATTACAGACATTTTGCTTTAATTAATGAGTCCTGGAGGGACACACTAAACTTGATCGGTTAGGTTTTAGTAAGTTGTATTTTAAACGAGTTTAAACACAGCAGACATATTTGGTGAATAATTTGTTAAGCATGAATATTATCATCAAATTCATTACTATTTAATAGTAATAATTAAATGTATTTGCAGTCAGAATCTATAACGTTTGATTAAAATACTGATCTCTAAAATTAATAAAAATAAATATAGTTTATTTTATAAAACTGTTATTCTAATTAAAAAGTATCTATTTATTTCTTCGATTTTAGTTAACTAGATTACAATACAAAAAAATGTTATTAAAAATGATCAAAAATATAAGTCGTTTAATGTAACTGTATGATAATCTTAATTCATCAGCCATATCTCAATTACCTAAAAACCAGATACTCGGAGATAACTGATGAGTTTTCTAAATTTAACAAAATTTAATTTTTAATATTATACATAATATGTGTCTAAAACGTCATCCTTGTTACATGGGAAAGATTAATTATAATTATTGGTAACATTTAAGTGGGCGTGCGATAAGCATCTATACATATAAAACATATTATATATGTTAATATTTTGTATTATATTTAATTTAATAATTATACTTAACCTATCGTGTTTCTCGTTATAATACGTTTAATGTATAATTTGAAGGAACGGCTATCTACGAACAGTTATAATCTTATATCAAATTACGTTTGGCCAACAATAGCTGCACCGCGGTCCATAGCGCATAATATATCGGCTGTATCTGGCTATAATAAAATATTATAATAAACCTATTATACACCGGTGCGGTAGATAATAGGGTCAAACAATAAAAATCGTGCAATTACTCGTAAATCGCAATATGCAGTTAATACGTAGAGGTACTTATAATACGATATATAATACATAATCAGCGTACACAGATACGTTGGTACCTACAACTGTTATAAGCGCGTCGTAATATTCCGCCGGCGATTCTGTCGAAGTAAAAAAAAACTTTAGTCTTATAATAACGAGAAAAGGGTGTGACCATCGCCTCGACCGTTTTACTACTCAAATGGCCGCAGCGTACCGCTACTACGAAACAAGCCATCATACAATATTATTAATCCTTACACATATATAAATAAAAGTACATGTCTTTTTTATATACTAATAAGTTTCTGAAAACAGTATTGAACTTTTTTACGATTTTTTTTGAAAAAGTTGTTGAATTATAAAAATATAGTTTATATTCTGTAAATAATTGCTTTTCAATTCAAAACCGTGCACGGTCGGAACCGAAGTTAGGGATTGCGGAGTAACATTATGATATCTAACAAACACAATGAGTAATAATACCTATTACCTAAGCACACGCCATCGCTGTATACCGAGAGTAATAATTGAAATATTTTGTTTGTTTTTGGAAAACAATAATTTTCGTTCATATAATAATATATTTAACGGTACAGACTTCTTCAATATGTTATGTATAGACAGCAAGCCCATTCACGCGCTGTGCCGCATAATACAAGCAAGTATAGGTCTAGGCACTTACACAATGCATTTCGTGATGATCTTTATGGTTTTTCCTCTCTCCGTGTTGTTGTATATACCTACCTAGTGAAAATGAATATTTTTTTGGCATTTCTAATATACGATACCCACAGATGGAACATTATACATACATATAATGTACAACGCGTAACGGGCTCGCGTGATCCATCCGAGTGAAACTATCGGCACAACGGAGAATCGTGTGATTGTGTCGCCGCCGCCGTCGCTGCCGTACGTATATGCACCTACAGTGGCACACCGGATATCGTGTCGTCGATCGCTGATCGAGTATTGGCCGTGCGCGCAACGTGCAGGTGTGCGTTACTTGTACATATTATAGATGGTTATGGGTAGGTATAGGGATATAATAATAGTATGCGGAGATACCTATTTGTAGATCGACCGGCGCACGATCGCGAGATCGACGAAAACGTGAGAAATCTCGGGGCGCGCGCGACGACCGCAGCATATAGGTAACCTTTTGATATTTATTATAGTTACCGGCGTTACCGCGATCAGATCGAAGAAGTTAATCCATGGTCAATTTGATTACTATCATTATTATTATTATTATTATTATTATTATTATTATTGCCCGATTTATCTTTATTTTTAATCAGAACGACGCAAAACATTGCAGATTATACCGTTTCTGTTTGCCGAAATAAATAATATGATATGCTAGTATTATGTACCTATTGACTTTTTGAACATTGTATGACGGTACAAGTATAATCATACAGTATACTGTTGTCGAGTAATGTATGTAGTCCAGTTTTATTAAAAGACTTCGGAATGGAGTTTGAAAGTATCTGCACGTTATGATAACCATAACGTCATATATTATTACTTACATTATCATATCCAATCACCAATACGTTTATAAATGGTAATAGTATGATTATTAAGAATTTAACTTTTTTACGTCTCTCCCTATGGACATAACACGAGTGGGTTTCGATCTTCGATCACATCAACGTAACCCGTCGCTTGTGGAAAAAATCTGAAAATGCGACGGAAATCACACGCTTAAACAAAACTACAAAACAAAATAACCTTTTTCGTTATTTAAATGTGTGCGGTTTATTTGCTCGTTTTACACTACGACTGCGTTATGCATTTAATGACAAACGTCGTTTTAATATGCGCGCGTTTGCAATTATTGTTTATATAACATCATATTATTATATATGGTTTTTATTAGGTTTGTAAAGTGACGGTCGAGTAGGATCATCGTTGAAATAACCACCGTCAGTGTTATGAATGTCATTATACGTTGTGTTATATTATTGTATTATTAAAACGCAGCGGGAGCACATCGCGGCCATATAAAATGTGCGATTTTCTCGGCGCACGATCCTTCGATTAAAACGTCGAAATAAAATAATAATAATAATGACAATAATTGCGACCAAATGACAACCACGTCGGTAGCGGTAGCGGTGTCGGAAATAGAAAGAGGAGAGAAAAAAGTACGCCAATAATACCCTGCGTTTTTTTCTGAATCGGTTCTAAGTATCTACTAATGATTCGGCCGGATAACGATTTGGGCGTAGGTATTATAAATATTTTCCCTAACTTCACACACTCTCACACACTTCGCCTGATAAACGCTGCTATATTGTTCCGTTGTCAGTGCATTATTAGTTATATTACAGATATAGTTAAATACGCACGCACATACGTATTTTAAACGTATGTAATGTTTTAAACTTTCGACCGAATCGCATTGCCATCGGAACATTTATAATATTATTATAATATCTGCCACAGTCGTACCTTTATAACAGATATTATTATAATATTATATTATACCATTTTCTTTGCGGACGAAGAATTGCTTCCGCTCGCGTATTGTGCCGAGTCGTAAAAAAATACAAAACAATTTCACTATTTTCGCCACCCATCACACTGTTTGCTCATCACGATTCGACGTCGTGTGCAGATTCGTTTTTGGAATATAGTATATTAGGTCCCCGACACATAAAAGATCCCTAGCTATACAATATACACATAGTATCGGAGACGACGACCGTGCGCTTTGTACGTATACAATATTATAAATTATTATTAAATATATCATGATATATTATTATAATTATTGTGTGTACTGTGTATAACCGGACACGCGCAACGACGGTGATTGGTTAGGTATTTTATCATTACAATAATCACAATAATAATAATTGCGATCGCCAAAAACGGTCATGTGAAATTTTCGGTTGTGTTTGCGTTTCCGTCGCAAGTTTTTCATCGTGAAACCTGAACGCGCGTGAGTATAATAATATTAATTCAATTACCTATTATAAGGTCGTGACAACAGGCACGCACCCTGTCTGCGGAAAAAAATAATATAGCATAACACGAGTTTTACATCCCGTTAAAATCTTGCTTACATATCATACATGTATATTAGATATATAAATTATATATATATATGTACTACGTAGCAAACAACGAAAATGATACCGTGTTTTTGGTATTCTTTTCGTACAAACTACCGATGTTACTCCGTCGGCTCGCTAATAATATGTATAGTAATAATACGTTGACTTATTGTATAATATGTTTAGTTAAAGTTATATTGAGCCGTTGTTATAGTTGAACTGTAGAGTATATATCGAGTCATTGAGCTATGGATACCCCAATTCGTCTTGGTCTACGTGTATAGTTGTATTTCGTTTTTTTAATATTTAATTTTTTTTTTAATTTTAGTGGAGATTACCGATAACATGGTATCACAAGGGTGTCATTTAATACAATGATTTTTTTTTTTAACACATGAGCGCGTTCATTATTTTATTATAATATATTATTTTGTAGGACATCAGGAAGTCCTTATATGCACCCCATTTTTTTATATGTATTTACATATACGTGTCGTACTCCGATGCACCCGCGATGACCCGCAGCTGTTGCTGTATAATATATCTATGGGTATAATGACTTTCGAAACAAAACAGAAAGTTTGAGATAACCTACGATATTGAATCCGTTCCGTTGTGTACAACGAATTTCGAGGATTGAAAGCAATGTGCGTTTTACATAATTTTTAGTCACAAGCTAAGAATTTTTCAACAACAATACTTGAGGTTTTAATACTTAGAAACTGCATGGAGTGTTTCGATTTTTTGACCACAAATCAGACTTAGCATTTCCAATTGTAGTACATATAAAACAACAAATAGATATTATGCTTTACACACATGCATAATTTTATGGTATTGCGTACA